TTTTTTGGAGAAAAAAATGATGGGGGGGGGGGGTGATGTCCGTTGCTTTGGGTCCCCTTTGGGGAAAATACCTCCCAGGGTATAAATTTCAAAATAAACAGTAAGGAATTTTAAAAGGACATTTATTTCCTCACAGGCAGCCTCCTTTCTTCCCAGCATCCTCTAGTGCGACTGACTCGGCCTGTCCATGAGCAACAGAGGCTTTACTGGTGAGCTAACCCGGACAGTCCAACGACATCACAGGACTAATAATACAGGAACGACTACTTACCAGACAGTTTGGAAAACCACGAAACACTCCCCCCTCATCTCCACAGGTCGTGAAAAGTAGTGCCGTGTTGTGAAATCCAAGTAAAAAGGTGTGCATGCAGCTCCCACGTTGGCTGTGTGGCTGCTACTTTGTGGAGCTGCAACCAGTGTTCCCTCTAAGCTGAGTTAGTGTGAGCTGGCTCACAGTTTTCTAGCCTCCAGCTCACACATTTTTGTTTCAGCTCAGGAAGGAGGGCTCCAGAGCAAACTGATTTATGCAGCAGCCAAATCGCTCGCTCACAACTTTCATGCCAGCAGCTAACATGACTCCACGGCTTAGAGGGAACATTGGCTGCAACCCTTTTGGAAGACTTAAAGCAAAAGGCACCCAGACGCCTAGGAAGCTGGGGCTCACCACCAAATCAGGCGATTCTCACTTAGAGAAGATCGGGAAACCTGTGTTATTTTCCTTCCCTTAATAAAACTGCCTGGTCTCACCCCCAGTTGGCTTTCTGGAGCCGACACAGCCTCTTTTGAAAACCACGTACTCACCCCGGATCTGAGGAGCAGCTCATCGGAAGAACGTGGAACAGTCCAACCTCCTCCTCCTCCTCCTTGCACAGCCCTGAAACGAAAAGGGGGGTGGCGGCGGGTTTTTTTTAAAAAAAACAAACAATGAGTTTTAATTAGCACAACTCATTAATACACGTGTCTTTACCAGTTTACAAAAGGGAAACCAACCAGCCATTCTGAAGCCGCAACAGAGTTCTTATGCACAAACCGGGGGGGGGGGGGGGG